CTGGGGGGTCTGCAGAAACGGCACCCCTGGAATTAACTCTGAGCCCCTCCAGAGCCTGGAAGGTGGGGGGAAACTCAGAGGGGCAGGAAAGCCTCCCACTACTTCCCACTCCACACCTGTAGCGTCTCCAAGAGTTTTAGGAAATGCTCCAGATCTGGAAAAAGCTCAACCACAAGAACTCCTGATTCTGAGTCCTTCCCAGGGACTCAGCCTGAAAAACCTCCAGCAGCAAATTGAGGGTCCAAGGAAATTCCTCTCTGGCTGCTTTGAACTCTAAGTGATCTTGGATTGTTTCCTTCAGGGGAGGGAAAGTGGAGCTGCTCTTTTAAGTTCCCTTTCAAGACAACAACAACACAGAGGTTTCTCCCTACTTTTATGGTTTCCTTCTGCTCCCCTGAATCTAAGGCTGCTCCAGGCCTCTTTCCAAGGGACACAACCACAGTTTCAAGAAGAGGAGAGGCAGAATCAAAGTAAAAAGGGGCTCTGGGCTTTTCCAATTTCTGACTGATTAATTTGGAGAAGAAATATTATCCCTCAAAGGGGGGGAGAGAGGTGAGGCCAATGGAAGAGAGAGAGAGAGAGAGAGACAGAGAGAGACAGACAGAGAGAGAGAGAAAGAGAGAGAGAGAGAGACAGACAGAGAGAGAGAGAGAAAGAGAGAGAGACAGAGAGAGAGAGAGAGAGAGAGAAAGAGAGAGAGAGAGAGAGTCCTCCCAGGGCAGGGAGGGGCTGCTGGCAATTGTGTGGGGGGGCTTCCCCTGTGGACCCTGATCTCACTCAGCTTATACCAGAGGGGGGGTCAAGGACCCCAGAGGGGGTCGACCCAGTGGGGAGACGTTGTTTAGATGGGAAAATAAGAACAAACCACAGGAAAAGATTATACTGTGAAGCCTCCTGTGGGGTGAGGGGGTGTTCTTCAAGGTGGGGAGGGGGCTGTTTTGAGGAAAGACTCACTAGGTCAGAAAGGAGGGAACCTGTTTGGGGTTTAAGAGAAAGATCCACAGAAATTTTGGGAAGAAAAGAACCCCTCAACCTTGGCCTTTTTTGCCCAAGGGGGGGCCCTGAGGATGTCTTATTAATGGTAGACGTGGAGCCACCTAGTGGTGGTGGTGGGAGGTGCACCATCAGGTGCAAGGCAGGGAAGGAGCCCCCTGTGGGATGTGGGGGGAAGGAGAGTTAATGGGGGGAAATTAAAGGCACCCCACACTTGACTACAGTTCGACTAATGGGGGTCTCACTGAAGAACCTCAAGTGCTCCTGTTGCCTCACTGTGGGCTGTGAACAGGACACCCCCAAGTGCTTTTCCCGCCTGATCCACCCAGACACCCCCCAGGCAGAGGCTGCATTTCCTGGTCCATCGAATGGCGGCCTGGCAAGGGGAACCAATCAGGGCTTCCCGCGTCATGGAGAGGGGCTGGAAGGGGAGGGGGAGGATTCCCTCCTGGGCAGTCAGACTGCAGACCAGGAACCCAAAAGGGCCGAATGTGCACAAGAAATCCGGCCATAAAGGAGGAAAGTCCAACCTGCATCCAGGGGCTCACCTGTCCTCAGCAGCGTCTCCTTCCCGTAGGACAGGTACTTCTCCAGCCACTCAATGCAGATTTCCTCCAGATAGGACTTATCTCTCTGATTCAATCCTGGAATAGCGTCCCATTTCCTCTGGGTGATCTGGGCCTGGGGTTGGGGAGCCACCCAGGTGAGTCTCTCCTTGTCGAAGGTGAGGAAGGTCCTCCCATCGTAGCCATACTGCCAAAATCCTCCTTTTCTCCCATCAGCCTGGAGCTCACAGCCGTACATCAACTGCCACGTGTGAAGGCCTGAAATAGGAACAAGATGATGGTTTGGGGAGTCCTCAAGATAGACACAGATCCCCTTCCCTGCAGGGACTTTGGCACAGGAACTGACACACCCGTTTCCTCCCTAGCAATCAAGGGAAAGAAAGCCCCCATCACTACCTGCCCTTCTCCCCTCCCTCGACCTGTCTCCCTGAATTCCCCCCCCCCAGGATGGAGTCCCTGAACCCCCCCAGGAAAAGGGAAGCTGGAAAAGCCAGCGGAGGATCCCGAGGGAGACCGAGAAAAGAAGGAGTCGCAGAAGAAACGGAGGGAGCGAGCCTCCTCCATCTTTCCTTCTGCAGTTCCTCTGTTGGGGAGACTCTTGGGGGGAAAGGAAGGGATCCCAGAGAGGGAACAGATTCCTGCAGCTCCAAAGAGGGACTGAGAATCTCATGGCCTCAGAGAGAATCTGGTCGAACTGCAAACAAGCTTGCAAGGATCCCTGTGACCATAAATCTTGATCTATGTTCCCAAATATCACTAAGTCACAAGGCTGGCTCCCTTTCTGGACTAACCAGAAACAAACCATGGCTTTGTACATTGTGGGAATGAAGACTTGAAGGGCCACAAAGGAATATTTTCCTTAGCAACAGCAGCAAGTGCCCCAATCTGATCTGCTCCCCCAAAGGGTTATTGACCTTTGAAATGAAGTTTGAACTTTACAGTCTCTGCAAGGCCCTGGAGAAGATGTTTCAACTTCAAATGACTAAATTCTTAGATTTAAAAGAAAACTGAATGTTTGAAAAAAACAAAAGGAAATGTTGAAATATTTCTACTTCTGGTTGGACTTCAGAATGAGGAAGGATGCCAGAAACTCTCAAATCTGAGGGAAAACCACTTGTAAGTACAGTTGAACTAAACTGACCAGTCCTTTCCCTCCCTTTCCACTCCCATGAGTGACCAAGTGAGGGGATCCTTTCTCTGCAGCTTCTGCTCAGCCTGAGACCTTCCCTTTGGAGGGAGAGGAAGATCCTCCTGAGCTGAGTCTGATCCTGCCCTCCAGAGGAGATTCCCTGATCTGCCCAGGGGAAAAAAAGGTTCTGGATTTCTGCCCAAGAAGAGTCTCCTGCCATTCACAGGAAGGCACTGAAAATCTGTCTGCAGTTTTCAACTTCTGAGAACCAGCTCTGTCTTATTTCAGAAGCATCAAAAGCTAAGACAGAAACCGTCTTATTTCAGTTGAAGATGAAATCTGTTTGTGTTCATTGCACGTTTGGCACAGAATTTAATATTTGTGCTGCAAAAAGAAAGCACAGGGATCATACTGAAAAGGCAAGTTTTTATTCTTAGTGTAAGAAGGCTGTTAATGCATCTCTAGAGGTCTACGCAGGAAACAATTCTGCCCCATCTCTGAGCCTGGATGTTCAGGGGTTCCCCGAGGCCTGAAAAATAGTTCAAGGGTTCCTCCAGGGTCAAAAGGTTAAGAAAGGCTGCTTTAGGGAGGCTAAATATATATTTATATTTGTAACTGCTGTGAAGAATATCAGAAGCCACTTCTTTATGTCTTTTTTCTTTATTTTCTTCAACTTGTTTTCTTTTCTTATATAGTTTTTGATTTTTCTTTGATTTCTTTCTTTTATCTCCTTTACTTTATGATACTTTCTTTTAGTTTTTATCTTTTGTTGGAAAGGTTCAAAACAAATTATATTAAAAAATTCAAAAGGCAAACAGGATATCAGAGATCATTAAAATGGTATTGAAAACACAGAGGCTAATGTCACAAAGCCTTTGTGTTAATCAAGGGTGCCACCACATCTGGAATATCGTTCGCCAGTTCTGGTCACCAGACCTCCAAAAAGGCCAGGAGGGAGCTGGGGAAGGTCCAGAGGAGGCGACCCAGAGGATGGGAGGGTTGAAGCAGCCTCCCTTGGAGGAAAGGTTGGGACATTTGGGGCTGTTTAGCCTGGAAAGGAGGCTCCCCTCCACTCTGGCCGGTCTCCTTCCTCCTTTCTCCACCAGGGGGAGCCCTCTGGGTCCAGCTCTGCTCCCCTGAGAGGCCAGCAGGGGGCCTGGAGGGATCTGGGGGGATCCTCAGGGATCAGGGGCAGAGCAGGCAGATCTCTGGGGTGTCTGCCTGGGGGGGATGGGCAAGGAAAGGGCAGAAGAAGGGGGGCTGCACCTCCTTGGGATGAAAGGAGGGAAAATGGCTGATGTTTGTGGAGAAAGTTTACCTCAGCCCAAAGCAGCCTCTGGTGACACAGATATTTGCTTCCAATCTCTCCCCTAAATCAGGTTCCTTGGAGGTGAATCTTGTGCCCCAAAGATGGCAGAAGGGGGGGGCTGCTGAAGAAGGCCTCCCCCCTCCAGGGCAGCCCCACCAAGAGGGCAGCGCAGGAGTCCAGCCGGAGGGACCAAGGATGGGAAGCCATCAGCGCTCTGAGCGACTCAGGAAGGGCCCCAAATGGGGGTTTCTTTCTTTTCTGTCCTTTTCCCCCTCAAGATTGGGAGGATCCTGGAAGTGATCCTGTGCCCCCCCAGGAGTCCCCCCACCCCATTTGGCCTCCTGGCCTCTCCTTCCACCTGGAGGGTGAGAAGTTCCTGCCGTTTTGGGTCCCCACTCATCCCTCCAAAAAGAGGTGAAAGAGAGGGATCTAGTCAGCCCAGGTGGATCTGCAGTGGATCCCTTATTTCTCTGGGGTGGAAACAGACAGAAAAACAAGGACCTGCTTCCCTCAGGATCTCCTTGGGATCCACCTGCTTCTTTTCTGGGAGAGGAGAGACCTGGGATCCCCTCCCTCCCCCACAGCAGGGGGTCCACCAAGGCCTGGACCCCCCAACTTTCATGGGGGGAGGGGAGATTTTGGTCTCTTTTAACTCAGTTTATATCCATATCCTATCAATATACAGGGAGATGGAGGGAAAACTTTAAAAAAATGTTTTTATTAACTGCAATTGGCAGAAAACATCAGCTATGGAGGCAACGACAAGCTTATACTGATTTTTAAAAAAGAATAAACATATTTTAAAAGTTTGTTTAAATGTGGGGAAGCAGCCTTTCCCTTTGAAGGGACCCCCCTTTCTCCCCCCTCTGGTTCCTAGGGAGGGGATTATGGGGCAGGAGGAGCCACCCAACCCATCACTCACCTTCGCTCTGATTGTAGCGAGTCCTCGCAATCTCCAGGTTTTCTCTGAACGCCTCCTCAGCACTATGTGATGCCTGGGTCTCTCTGTCCCAGTAATGGGGGTCTTCCTTCTCCACCTTCTCCATCCAGGAGACTCGAGGCTGCTCCCTACGGCTGTTGCTGTTGTAGGAAGTGAAGACCTGACCGTCCACGTATCCCACAGTGACAAAATGGGGCAGCCCCTGACTGGGCTCCGAGATGGAGGAGTAGAAATACTTCAGGGAGTGTGAGGAGGCGCCTGGAAGGGACCCAGAGGGGCAGAGTTAGGGGGCTCCAGTCAAGGACCCTCATCCTATGGAGGCTCCAATCTTTGGGGGGAAAGAAGGAAGAAGGAGGAGGAGGAGGAGAAGGAGAAGAAGAAAAAAGCTGGGGGGGAGGAGAAAGGGGGAAAGGAAGGGGGAGAGGACGGAAGAGGAGGCAGGAGGTGGAAGGAGGGAGTGACTGAGAGGGAAAGAAGCAGCTTCTGGAGGGCCTGAAGGGTTAGAGGGCACGGAAGGTGGGGTGAGAGAGGACGGGAAGGTCGGGTCCCCCAAACTTTACCTGCCCCAATTGCACACTCCCCCCTTCCAGCAAGGCCTTCCACAAAGCTTGGGAGGGGGTTGATCTCAGCTACCCAACTCTTCACATGATCAGTGACTTTCAACGTAAAGGCCTAAATTAGAGTTTCTCAGCCACTTGGACTCCCAGAATTCCCCTAACCTGGAAGAAACCCATGGGGCCTCTCCACCCTGGCCCCACCCCCTGCCCCCAATGAGGTTGCTTGGGCGTTCCTACTGCCAACTCCCGTATTGGGTGGGAGGGGGGCTCTGCTGGAGTCCTCTCCCCAAACTCAGCCTCTGTCTGGAGGGTCCCGTCATCTTTATTTTTTTTTATAAAATTTTTATTAATTTTTTTCCCATCAACATATGTTAATTTTTCCAATCAACAAGTTGTCTGGAGTTGCTACCTGTTCAATTCCTAATCCTTCATTCTTTTCTCTAACCAAGAATAAAATAAATTCCAAATTTATAGTAGTCTGTATCTTCTTTATCTTTCAACCTCATAGTTAATCTATCCATCTCTGCACATTCCAATATTTTCCGGATTATTTCTTCCTCTGATGGCAGTCCTTCATTCTTCCAATATTGTTCAAAAATTATTCTCGCTGCTGTAGTGATGTGTAAAATTAAATATAATTTCTCCTTATTAGTCTTTTCAGGCATAATGCCTAGTAAAAAAAGTTCAGGTTTAAAATCCACTTGTTCGCCCAACATTTTTTCTAACCAAACATGTATATTTTTCCAATAGGCCTTTGCCTTACCACATGTCCACCAAATGTGGTAATACATGCCTATGTTATGTTTACATTTCCAACATCTATCTGACATATTTTTAAACATTTTTGCTAATCTTGCTGGTGGAAGGTGCCATCTATAAAACATTTTATACAGATTTTCTTTGTATGAAGTTGACATTGTTAATTTATAGTTTCTCTCCCATAACATTTGCCATTTTTCTAATTCTATATTATAACCAAAAAATTTTGCCCATCTTATTATTGTTTCTTTCACTTGTTCACTTTCCATATCTAAAATTAACAAAAAGTTATACATTTTCTTAATTAATTTCTCATCTGAGGTTAACAAAATCTTATCAAACACAGTTTGATCCTTGTAAAATCCATACATTTTTACATCTTTTTCATATCTACTTTGTATCTGTAAATGTGCCCACCAAGACAGATTAATTCCCTGAATTTCCAATTTTTGTTTAGATTTTAATTTCCCATCAATATCTAAAATATCTTTATATGTCCATATTTTTTCAAAGTCTACCAGGCTCGGATGTATAAATGCCTCCATCGTTGATAACCACTCTGGAATTTTTGAATATCTTTTAGCTTTAATTTTTTCCCATACTGTTAACAAGGCATTTCTTATAAAATGATTTTGAAAGTACTTATAGACTCTGTTTTTCCTGTACCATAAGAAAGCATGCCACCCCAATTGTAAATCATGTCCCGTCATCTCTAAAGCCCCTCTGGTGAACCAAAGATAAACATACTACATTATTTCAGTTTCTAGCATGCAAACTGCCAACCAAGGAGCATCAAAGTTTCTTCAGCCCTTCCTTGGATTGGAGGAGAGACTAAATTCACAAGACATAAACTATGCTAAACTTGACTAACAAGGACAAAAGAAAATCACATTAAGTCACTGTTTAGTTTTCATTGTCAAAATACAAACATGGAAGAGACTCTGAGGCTGCCCAAGTAACAGAAAAACAACAGCTTGTAAGTGGATTAAAAGAATAAAAATAAATAAATAAAATGAATAAAATGCTCCTGGGAAATCGATTAAGCTGATGAAAATCCCCAAGGCCCTTTCTTGGTCTCCATTCTGGAAGCTCTTCAGGTCAGAAATTCTTCAAGGGCACCAAAGAGTTTAAAGATCATTTTCAGGATCCTTCACGGGACTTATTTGGGCAGAACCTGGGTCTGCATGGAAAAGGGCAGGACCTCCAAAGCCCCCCCACCCCGAGAAATAAATACAGGCAGTCCTCGACTTACGACCATAACCGAGCCCACATTTTTTGCAGCTAAATGAGACATTTGTTAAGTGAGTTTTGCTCCATTTTATGATATTCTTTGCCACAGTTGTTAAGTGAATCGTTGCAGCTGTTAAATTAATAACCCCATTGTTAAGTGAATCTGGCTTCTCAATTGACTTTGCTTGTCAGAAGGTCGCAAAACGGGATCACAGGATATGGGGACACTGTGACCGTCATAAATATGAACCAGTGGCCAAGCATCCAAATCCTGGTCACGTGACCATGAGGACGCTAAAATGGTCATGTTTAAAATAGTGATAAGTCACTTTTTTCAATGACGTTGTAATTTTCAACAATCACTAAATGAACTGCTGTAAGTCGAGGACTACCAGTAATCCCACTGCCCAGTCCCTCCAATATGGTCTCCCAGTCCTTCCCAGTCTCCCAAGGCAAAGTCCTTGGCCTCCATCCTGCTCCTCCCCACAATCCCAGCGGCTTCTCAGAACTTTTGGGGAGAGGGATCCCCAGATCCACTTCCTGCTCTGGGGAGATTTCAAACGGATCAGAGCTTTTCTCTGACAGAAGGAGGGGGGATCGGACCCTCCGTGATCCAGAACCCGCTTCTTCCCCTGGTGGGGCTGAGCAGTGAGGGAGTCTGAAGTCTGCCTGAGAGGAGAAACGTGTGAATGTAACGCAGGTTGGGCGTCCTCACAATCCTGAATCCTCCTCAGGTCAGGAAGGGCTGGTCAGTTTGGGCCTGTCTGTGTCCAAGCAAGCCCTTCATTCCAGGCTCTCCATCCAGAGGGGCTTCTCTCCTCCTGCCTCCAGCCCAGCCTCTCTAATCCTTCAGATCCTGACAGTTTTGGAAATGCCTTTGGAAAAGCTGCTGCATTGAGAGTTTCTCTGAGGAACAACTAGGGACA